TTTTTTTGTTTGAGAGATTAGTTTATGTACTGCAATTTTTGAAAGATATACCATGAATAGTTGTAAGAGATAAAGCGTACTTGCCATGTTTGAAGTTCATTCTTGTCGACTATTTGGTTTGCGCGTAAAATGAGACAAAAAGTTAAGTACAAGGATGCATGAACAGTGAATAAAAACAAAAGTCAAGCTGTAAGACACGTACAATAAGTGCATTTTTGTAACTCTTTGAGTTGCTCTTCACTTAATTTGCTCTGAGTTTTCCCCATTGTTATTTTGGGTGTATGTGTATGTGTATGTGTGTATGTGTAGAGTATATATATGTATAAACAGATAGATTTTGGAGAAAAAAATATTTCGGAAAGTTATTAAATTTTATTAAATATAAAGCAGAGTCTTATATAAGCGTGTGTATTTATATAAGATGTAAAAAATCTAAAAATGATAAACTGAATCCCCTTTTATCAATATATCCATTTAACCTGAAACGCCATTTCTTTGAAGAAAGGTCACCACGTGATACATTGTTAATATATTTCTACGCAGAGCTTCTTTTTGATAACGCGACTTGATTTTTTTCTTTAGAAATTTCTGCAAAAAATAACGGGTGATCGCCGATTTTAAATTGACTATGATGATATAATGATGTTTGTTGATTTTTTTATTTCTTATTCAAATCAAATGATGATGCAGTAAAAGGAAAAACTTTATCCGGAAAAAAATAGTGTATCACTCTTGTTCTCTGTAACAATGATATCGCTATTTTTATGGAATAAAGGCAAAATATGAAGATTTCCTTATCTAATGATTCATGCATCCTATATCCCATGTCTTATTTCAATCCCTGAACTACTATAGTCTGACAATCCTAATCCGGATTGTTGAAGGTCAGTAACGAACGATTGACATAAAAGGTGTGTAATTATACATAGACAGATAAATAGTAAAATATGCAAAGGATACAGCAATTAATTGTCATGCAATATGGCAGTGGTGTTCTTGGAAACTTCCAGTCAAATTTATGGCGTTATTGGACGTAGTCATTGGAAGCTTCCAATGACAATTTACGTTGATTTGTTAGAAGTTTCCCAAGAATATCACTGTAATATGGTTCCTGCGAATTCTAAGATTTCTAGAATCCATATAACGTGCGCTACAAGGTTACCTCAGAACACTCAACCGCCAAACAAAAGAGAAAAGAAGGGCGGAAAACAACATAAATATAATTTAGGATACAAGAAATTTCTTTTTTCCATCCATTGATATTATCCATGATTAATTTTGCGTCTATCTTTGTGTTCTCCTCCCTCTTCTTTATCCCTTTCTCGGTATCTTTTTTTGTTATAATCTCTCTCGCGACGATTTGGCGATGGATTTTGTGATCTTTTAAGATCATGTTTTTCGTTATTTCGCGACGAACTATGATGATGGTGGTGATGACGATAGTGGTGATGCGAGTGATGGTGATGTTGTGAATTCTTTCGTCTTGAGGGTGATCTTGACCTTGACCGTGAATAATGACGACGATAAACTTTTTCATCATTCTTTTTAGTACGTGCATCACTTTGAATATATTCATCTTTGAGACGTGTATCACTCTGAACATTATCAAGGCGATGATGGTGATGGGAAGAGAGCAAATTTCGACGAGGAGGAGATCGTGAAGTATGTTTTGCTGAATTCCTAGAATCGTAAGGAGAATTATTCCATCTTTCAAGAGATGTAGAGGTACCGTCATTTTGATATTGGAATACAGAGGATCGAGGAGAATGATGGAAACTAGTTGCAGTAACGGCTGTAGTAGAACTAATACGACGATCCTGCACCTGCCTATCATAACTAGTGGGGGATGATACCTGAAGGTGATATCTTCTCCAGCAATCATCGTATCTTTGTTCGGGAAGTATATCGGGCATTGCTTGATTTCCGGCGATATGCCTACAAATAAAGACCAATTCGCATATAAAGAATACCACGATATAAAACTATACAATACACGAAAGCACCACATACAATGGTCTTTTGAACGGTCTATCTCGTGCCCCAAAACGAAGTTGTCCTGATTCTTTTTTTCCCCCGAATCCGCCACCTAGACGTCTTGGAATCCATCCCTCCATTAGACGACTCCGTTCGTAATCTACTAATATTTGGCGATCGTCTACTGTCATTTTGTTTGCATTCTAGCATAGTAACGTTGACATTTGTTTAGATACGATACCCACTATTAATCCACAGATTAAAATACAAAAGAATTTTGTTCACCCTATAAGCATCTTGACTAGATCTTTCATGCGTGAATTCAATAAACGCGTAACCACGCGAATCGCCAGTTACTTTCAAAAAAACCACCCACGCTTATAAGTGATATATTAATAATATGCGAAGAAAATCATCTATGTCTGCCAAATACCTAAATTACGCACAAGTCTGATTTTTTTGATTGCGCCAAACTTCTCGAACACTTTTTGTAAAGTTTCTGAGGAGAAAGTGTATTAAGAAATCAGTGAATTGAATAATTAACGCGAATATGTTTAAATTTTGAATGTTAAATATGAGAAAGAAACCTTCTGAAGTATCCGGATTTAATCTTCCTACAAAAATAGTTTTTAGAGGATCTTCTGTCACATCTTCTGTGCTAAACGGTGGTAAATCTTAATATCGATAAAATTTATTATGTTTGAATAAATTCCCATGCCATTAATTAAAAAGTGAAATAGCGAGAACCAAAAATATAAGTACAAACATTTGGAACTTTGAGCGCGTTGAATGGCGTGATCATGAGGAACCAAGTCTGTTCCATCGATACTGCCAGCTAACAAAAAAAAAAGGAATTAAGAAAATTCAAAGTCATAGAAAGTGCGAAGTCCATATTTACCTTGAAGAGGGTCATACTTGTAAGCGAACCACATCGGCAATAATCGTGACAGTTTTTGGTTCAATAAATATTGACGTCATATTTTATTTATATCAAAAAAATTTTGCCGAGATTGTGTCGCCATGAATAAAATGTCGATTTTTTTGAATGAATGCGCTTTACGTTTTTGCTTCATATTCTCAAAGGGTACCTTTAGTCGCTTTATTGCTAATAAAGAAAATATTAAAGAATAATGGTTCAACTCACGAAAACAAAAGAGGTTCCTGAGAAGCTTAAAGTCGGAGTATTAGGTATGTTGGAGTTTTATGTTATATTACATTTTTCTAATTCGTCAGAACATGTAACTAAATTTCCTAAAAAAAAATATACCAATCTAAACTGAAATTGCGATTCCACTAATAAATTATGTAGCACTTCAAGGTGCATTCATCGAACATATACACATTCTTCAGCGACTCCCACAAGTTTCTCTAGCAATTCCGGTACGAAATACTGATCAACTCTCGTTAGTTGACGCGTTGATAATACCTGGAGGCGAGTCTACAACAATTGCGCTCGTGGCTGAACGATCAGGTTTATTAGAACCGTTACGGGAATTCGTTAGAAGTAAACCTACATGGGGCACATGTGCTGGAATGATTCTGTTGGCGAATGAAGTTACGCAGGTCAAAGAGGGAGGACAAAAGTTGCTTGGTGGGCTGGATATTACAGTTACTAGAAATAAGTTCGGGAGCCAGGTAAAAGAGCTTTCCTTTTAACGCTTGTTTTGAATGGTTTTCACGATAAATTTCACAAACTCGAAATGAAATAATATTAGATTGATTCATTTGAGGCTCCTCTTCACATACAACACGTAACAACAAAAGCCGAAAATGACGACGATATTTACAGTCTTTTTCCGGCAGTTTTTATTCGTGCGCCAGTCATAAGTCAAATTAATTCACCAGACGTGAAAGTGATTGCTCGACTTGAACATTCAATTGGCGACACTGACGCTTCGACTATAGTTGCTGTACGTCAAGACCACTTACTTGCCACCGCTTTTCACCCCGAATTGACTAAAGACGATCGAATGCATCAGTATTTTGTTAATTTGGCTCTGGAATCACTTGGAAAACGGCGAAAAGTGGCGTAGAACAATATCAACATATCATTTAACATCAATTTTTATTTATAATGCGTCGCGTTATTTATTAGACTTAATAATGTTTTAATGTAGAAATTACTTATTATGTTGATTGATCTTCATTAATAATTAATATCTGATAGAAATAAATGAATTCAACTAAACAGAATAATACACCAAAAGTAAAACATACACTCGCAGCCGATACTTGTACACAACCACTTCCAATTACTCTATCAAATAGCCAACCCCCTTCTTTACTAAGCACTATTTTTGGTTATTTTCATATTTTCAAGACCGCTACTAATGAAAAATCTTCGACAGCTACGATTGGAATTTTTGATAAATTTAGTCGTAATATAATAGTTGAGAATAAAGAGCATATAGACTTACTGTGGAAGTCTGGGTTTTTTGGAAAAGGCACTCTATCTAGGGGTGAACCGACTTGGTTCTCGAGGAATAGAGGGAAAAATCCCTATCCCAGAAATGGTTTGTCCCTTGAAGAAATCACTAAAAAACGACGTGAAGAAAGGAAAACGCGTCGAAAAAAGAAACAGAACGAAGAGCCAATTCAAGAATCTGATAAAGAATTAAACAATGACAACAATGAGATTGATAATGATGAAACTACATTAATTGATGATAATGAATTGAATCTTCATCGAAAAAATAATACTAATGATCCAAAAGAAAAAGAGTCTTTAAAAGAAATCCTGCCTCATCATCATCATGATGATGATGATGATGATGATGGTGATGGTGATGGTGATGGTGATAAAAAGTTTCCTTATTCATTTGATGATATTGAGAGGTTTCAATTAACTCTCGAAGAAGCATTTTTTCTCTGTTTTGGAATCGGATCTTTGTTAATCTATGACACTAATCAGGTTTATTTTTTTACTTTGTGTAAATTTTGCCTTTATATTAAGTCCATGACTGTCATTAAATGAATTTTATTTACAGAAATTACTAAGCATCAAAGATTGCTGGGATGCCTTTCGTAGCGTAGCTGCAACATCAATGATCTCTTTTTCCTCACTCTTAGTGCAAATGAATATAGATCGATGGGATAACTCATTTGTAATTCGTTATGTGGCTTTTCATTATTTTCGTAGCATGGGTTGGGTTGTTAGAGGTGG